CTCTCTCCCCTATCTCTCTCCCACCATCCCTATCTCTCCTCCTCATATCTTCCCACCCCTTTTTTCCTCGTCACCGCATTTTCCTCACCCCACATCCCCATCATCGCTCTCGAGGGTGCTCCGGGGACTCGCACACCGACCCAACCTGTGACGCACCCAGCTTTTCAACCGGCGCGACCCAGTGGTGGTCGTCGCGCGGAACCCTCACCCCCCTATAGTCCCGCCTCTCCCTTTTTCGAGGGCGGGACCACAGGGTCGCGGGTTCGCGAACCCCACACCCCCCTATAATCCCCCCTCGCCCCTTTTCGGGGCTGCTGCGGGGTTCATTAGGGGATGACACGGGATTCTCGCGCGTATCTCTCCTCTCAATCGAGATCGAGGGAGCATACCTGGGGTCTCAAATTCGAACGGATGTGATTCCGTGCATACCTCGTTCCACAGCGTCAACAGTCACGCTATTTTGCGTTTTGTGTCCGGAGGTATGAATCGAACTCGGTACCCTGTTGGCATGAAGCTAGCACGCTAGCAATACGCCAACACAGGCCACATCGATTCTGCTTTTTTTCGGCCTCATGACCTGTTAGTTTATTAAATCCAAATTTTATCTTTGTGCTATCTTACAATAAATAAAATTCCACGCTTTCCATTTTTTGTCCCAAAGTATGGTTCGAACTCGGCACTCTTTGGGTACGAATCCATCGCTCTACCAATTTCGCCAGCACAGGCCACATCGATTCTGCTTTCTTTCGGCCTCATGACTTGTTAGTTTGTTATATCTAAATTTTATCTTTGTGCTATCTTACAATAAATAATTTCCACGCTTTCCACTTTTTGTCCCGAGGTACGATTCGAACTCGGCACTCTTTGGGTACGAATCCATCACTCTACCAATTACGCCAGCACAGGCCACGTCCTTCACGCTTTCTTTTGGCCTCATGACTTGTTAGTTTGTTATATCTAAATATTAATTTTGTGTTATTCAACACTAAATAAATACCACAACGTGAACAATACTCTTTTTTTGTCCTGAGGTATGATTCGAACTCGGTACCTTTAAGGTACGATGCCACCAATCTATCCATTACGCCAACACAGGCCACACAAATCAACTTTTTTTGGCCATATGACCTGTTAGTTTTTTTTCGTTTAAAATATACAATATCATCTACTTTGCAACGGTTTACTAATGTGATCGTCGTGGCGTCGCGCGTTAGGAGGTGGGAGTCGCTGGAGAGAAGAGGGTAGCAGGTTCGAGACGTGGTAAAGGTAAGCAAAGTAATAGTATCAGTTCTTAACGTAGGTAAGTATTAGGTTAAGGTAGTGTAAAGTTAAGGTAGGGTAGTGTAAAGTAAGGTAGGAGATGGTTGCGTCAATATGGTAGGAATATTAATGTATATAGTGTAATAATTACGCGCATAAAAATGAGGATATATTAATAATGAAGAAGATATTCTTGCGCAAAAGAAGAAAATATCACGAGACTGAGAACTTAATTTTTTTTTTAAGTTATAGTTAAGTAATTTTTTTTTATAAGTTATAGTTAAGTAATTTTTTTTATAAGTTATAGTTAAGTAAAACTGACCAATATTCAAAGTATATTAATTAAAATGAACTAATTAAGACTTTAACCCCTTAACTTAAAATGACGAGCAGAGCCCGCGAGCGATTGCAAGGCCAAAAGTGAATATTACGGGCATAGCCCATGTACGATATTCGGGAAAGAAGCAAATCCTTCGCATTTCGGGCATGGTGAATGCAAGTTATAAAATATTTTTTTATACGAAACTATAAAACACAAAATTATATTTATTTTTGTGATATACCGTGCACTATGAGAGAAAATAGTCACAACGCCGCGCCAGCTTGAACAACTTTGGGCCGACATTTTGGAATCTAAATTGTAAGTTAAGGGTTAAATAATAATATAAAGTTTTTTTTTTTAACTCGTTTTATTTAGCAATCAGAAATACATAGATTCCTTTGAGCTAAAATGACAATGCTTAAGAGCAATGCCTAAGAATAGCTCCAATGAGATCTTCTTAGTTTAACAATTACTATAATAATATTATATTAGACCTAATCTAAGATTAAGTCTAAAGGCCATTGTCGTTTCAATCTTCTTGTACCATAAGGTTTAGTAATTTCAACTATAGATGGGTTAAATATAGATTAAAGTGATTGAAAAATGTTAATATTTTTGACATGTTTAAAATGAGTGAAAAACCATAGATTAGTCTATTTAAAATGACCAAAGTTATAACTACATTAACTTTATTGATCATGATATAATTAGATTACAAAAATTATAATATATGAAATTTATTCAAAATATTAAATCCTTTCCGACGAACGAATTAATGAGTATATTAATGTTTATGATAACATTAGCTTATCAGTTTAAATATCTGTACCTGTACGGTGTGTTTCTAATATATATCACTGAAAATGGTGTGAAATGAAACACTCCAAATAAAGTTCAGTTAGTTTTATTCAAAACTCTTAATGTAACACAGTATTTAATAATACAATTATATTAATTTATTATTACAACTGCAGTAATGAAAATGACTAAAATACATTAATATTTGTCTAATTGTATTATATATATATATATATATATATATATATATATATATATATATGTTATATATATATAATAACACAGTATGACATTAAATTAAGTGATATTTATAGCTAAGAAAAAGAGTGCACCATTTAAAGAAATAATAGAAAGTAAAATATTTAAACAAAAGGAAACATCGGTCGTCTGGCGTATTAAATGTTTAAGGCACTCGACTAACATAGGGGTTTGCAAAAAAACAAAGTCTATTATCAACGCGTTTCTCTACCGAGTCAAAGCAAAGGTATAAAGAGCTTAACCAAGATGCGGCAAGATGGTTGCAAACACCCAAACAGTAAAGAAGCTGTTCTACACAATTGTCTACACTAAAAAAGTGCATTCAATAAGTATCCCTATTAATAACAAAAAAAATTTAAAATTTAGACATGTTTAAATATTTTTTGTAACTTACGTTACAGCATAATGTAATTTGGCCGTAAAGTGGCTCATAATTAAATTAAAACAACAAATTAAATCAAATGCAATATATTTATTCATTATTTCATTAACATCTAAGCACTTAACTATTCAATAGATCACAGTAGTAGATCACAGTAGGCATCTTCTTTGGTGACAAGACGGACGGACGGACAGCATAATTAGTAGATGAAATGATTGTTCTCACTCGTGAGCAACTTGAGAGTTTACCACTTGGGTTGAAGTTGTCGTTTACCCTATAAAAAATAATGAATTAGTAACAAGTTTCATAAAATATACTATAATAATAAATTACCTGATTAATCATTCACCCCCGTCTTCCAAGCAACCTCAGTAAAATCTTCATAGTAAAACTCAACAAGTGGTATTTATAATAACTGCTTAAGTTAGTGAGGTTAGTCATGTTATTGAGTTAATAAGAGTTAAGTTAATCATGCATAATTATAGGCAGTTATTAAAAAAAACCACTTGCGAGTCATTCACATGTTAGAGCTTCAGGGCAGTAATAGTTGGATCGAGAAGATCTGCAAAAAAGAAAGAAACATTTTAGGAATGTTTCCATTTATGCTGGTATGGATAAACACATACCTGGTAAAATGTTTCTGGAAAGATTCCTGGTGAAGTAGTGAGTGCAGAGCAGCAGTAGTTGTAAGGACCTGAAAAAAAATGAACATGTTTTTTATTGTTCAAATTTATACTGATTTTGGATAAAAACATACTTTTTAGATTATTTTCAAAGTGATTCCTCGTGAAGGGGTCAGTGTGCAGAGCAGTAGTTGCAAGGACCTTGAAAAAAATAAAAATTTATAACAAACGACTTTTTAAATTATTTTCAGAGCGATTCCTGGTGAAGGGGTCAGTGTGCAGAGCAGCAGTGGTTGAAAGGACCTGAAAAAAAATAACATGTTATTTATTGTTCACATTTATACTGATTATGGATTAAAACGTACTTTTTAAATTATTTTCAGAGCGATTCCTGGTGAAGGGGTCAGTGAGCAGAGCAGCAGTGGTTGAAAGGACCTGAAAAAAAATAAACATGTTATTTATTGTTCACATTTATACTGATTATGGATAAAACGTACTTTTTAAATTATTTTCAGAGCGATTCCTGGTGAAGGGGTCAGTGTGCAGAGCAGCAGTGGTTGAAAGACCTGAAAAAAAAAAAAACATGTTATTTATTGTTCACATTTATACTGATTATGGATTAAAACGTACTTTTTAAATTATTTTCAGAGCGATTCCTGGTGTAGGGGTCAGTGTACAGAGCAGCAGTGGTTGAAAGGACCTGAAAAAAAAAATAAACATATTTATTGTTCACATTTATACTGATTATGGATAAAAACGTACTTTTTAAATTATTTTCAGAGCGATTCCTGGTGAAGGGGGTCAGTGTACAGAGCAGCAGTGGTTGAAAAGACCTGAAAAAAAATAAACATATTTATTGTTCACATTTATACTGATTATGGATTAAAACGTACTTTTTAAATTATTTTCAGAGCGATTCCTGGTGAAGGGGTCAGTGAGCAGAGCAGCAGTGGTTGAAAGTATCTGAAAAAAAAACAAACATGTTATTTATTGTTCACATTTATACTGATTATGGATTGAAACGTACTTTTTAAATTATTTTCAGAGCGATTCCCGGTGAAGTGAGTCAGCATTCAATTTTATTCGATACTTGGCCATTCGATACTCAACAATTTGCTTGATATGTTATCTTGTGGCCTCCATATCCATGTGATTTCATCTTGATGATCAGAAATAGAATGTAGAAATTTACTAGCAGTTTAAGAATTGCACTTGGTTTTATATGAAATGCATTAAAATTAATTGAAAACAGTGAAAATTAAAATTTAATATGTCAATAATTTAATGTAATATGTCAAATCCACATTGCATAATCTCAAATGATTCAAACGACCACATTATTTTTCAATGGTTAAATAGATTAGTGTATTAGTATTTGTTATTATTAATAATAAAACTACTGATGCTACCCAACTAATAAATTAACCCACATGCAAGACATATCGTGATCATTCGAATCATGAAATTCAATGCCTTAATGATTTTGTAAATTTCTAAAAGTTATAGTGACAACTAAAGTATTGATCAATTAATATCTTGAACAAAATCATCGCTTAATAAATCTATTCGTGCCAAATGCAATTCCAATAAATACCACATTCAGAGCGTCACAGTAACAATGTTCGTATAAAAACTGAAAGACTCTGGTAGCAGCAAACGCAAACCTACCCGCACCTGCAAAATACACAAATTATTTATGAATTTAGTCGATTATACATACATTATTAAATGTAATTGTTGATGCGTCACCAAAGCTGTCTTTGTGTGCTATGCAGCGCTCCAGCGAAGCATAGAATAGTCTTTATTTGCATCTTTATATCCATTCAAATTGTAACTATTCTTTGTCAATTTGTTGTTCAAATTGTAACTTTTTTTCAAGTAAAAGAAATAAAATTATGCATTTAAAATAAAAAATGGCTCTCATCGAAAAGTAATTTTGCTTTAACATTTTTAATGACATGATGATAGTGGTCCAATTTACACAATACTTCTGATCTATAAATTGAAGTGAATTAGCAGATGGTAATGATGTAAATAAGACTTCAAATTAAACGATCCGTATAAATGTACTCATAGTAATTCTCAAAATGAATTAACAGTCATTTTTTACTTTCACAACTTTTTACTATCACTTTCGATTATTTCTTCTGCACAATGACCGCCAGCCATTCAATTGTGAACTCTTGTTCAGTCAACAAAATAATAGTATGTAGTAAATAAAATAATTAGATAAAATGTATCCGGCGTACGTCTTAGACAGTAGTACGACTTGAGCAAAAACTACATAAATCGAGCACACGTTTTCCAAAACAAAAAAACAGCAATGAGAAAAGGTTTCAATTAAATCTAAAACATCTTAAAACTCGAAAACACGAAATGAAATCCGAGTGAATCCGCAAAGAGAAATATAATTAGCACAAGTACAACGTACCAGGTGACGCATGTTCTCCACAGGCAGCAAAGGGTCAGGCCCGCTCGTCCGTGTTCGACGACGTCTCGTTGTGTTCTTCCAGCAATCGCCACGATGGAAATGAACTCTAGCAATGACAACTCCATAGACAACTCCCTCTCCCAACTCCTATAGTCGCAAAGCATAGATGTGCAAAAGACTTGTAGACGTGCGACTGCAGAGCGTGCACGTTCGCTCGGTCGAAGATGGCGTTTCAGAAACTCGAACGTCTCTTCTGTTTTGAAATCGAAACGACGTTATTTGAATCTTCAATTTTAACAATAAGGGTTTTATAAATTAAATAACGATATTCCATTCTTCTAATAAACTCTCTAAACATTTACACTGCAATGAATTAGTCGTTGGTTATTGAAATAAATAAATTTGGTGTAGAATAAATTTTATTTTCTTTTACTAACCTGTGTTTTACAGTACACTTGTTTGCTTTTCCTTTCTCAGGTATAAAATTTGTTAAATATTTTTACATTTTTAAATATACAGACAAGTTTTCACTGTTTTATTTATATATTACTCATATACATGAATAATTTTGAAATTTAAAAACAAAAGCAATTTTCTATTAAAATGGTAATAGTTTAGTGGAATTGCTTTTAAATTTTGATAAAAAATTTAGTTCTACATTCCTGCAACTCGTGAAGCAGTAAATATTATATAAATACAAACATACAATTTTTTTTCAAGTTTTAACTTATTGGTTTACAATAAAATTACTAATGATGATACAAACTAGTCACAAACATTTGTAAACTAACAAAGTTAGCGCAAAAGAGTCTTACTGTGTACTTATTGAGAGTAGAGTTGGTTAAATATTTTGAAATATAATAAAATCAAACCGAGGTCAAAAAAAAAAAATTAATTAAAAAAATGTTTAATATAACATTTTTCTTTAAATTTCGTTTATTTTAAATAATCAAAATCAAATGACATTCTGTGAGAAAATACAAAATAAGTAATTTGAATTATCTAGTGAAAACAAACCACTCCTTTGCGAAGTTGAAAAACAATTAAATGAATGACATATAATAAATACTACTTTTTACATTTTATGATTATTTTAATTGATAACAATTTTTACAAGTGTATTTCAATAAAAAATTATTTTATAACTACTTAAGACTAATTTTATAAAAAAATTATTACAGTAATCTATATGATTACATATTGATTTTATGAGTTAGTTTAAGTTTTACAATGAAACAAAAGTTTAAACAAAATTTTCATTTATCAAACAATTTTCAAATCTAAATTTACTGCGATCATAATATATAATAATAAACTACACAATTCAAAATTATGTATACAATTGTTAATTATAAAAATATTCTTGAAACAGCTTAAATGGTGTTCATAATAAAATAAAACCAATTTTCAAAATATAGAAAATTAAAAATTTATTTTTAGAAATGTGAAAATACCATACTAGATATATGTCGAAACACACACACACACATACACATCACAAACATTATAAAGTTTTTGGTATATATAAGAACGCAAGTAAATATATACACACTGTAATACTATGCTATACATAAATTTAAAATCTTGTTTAAATACACGTTGCATAACTTTAGCTTTTTTATGCTTGTAAAGATAATTATATATTTCTCAAATTTATATTACTGCAGGCCAAAATATCAGACAAAAGTTGGAAATTTTGAGACTACTCTCCTATCCTGATAGTTACCAGAGCAACGGGGAACGTGCAGGAAAAATTATAGATTCACTAAAGGTTGAATACATTCAAACGTTGTTAATATTATTTATATTTTTATTACTATTTATTCCTCCAGGCCAAGAATCCTGCCTACCATCTAGATTTCGACACCAGGATCTACATTTCCCACATGATCCAGCCAAGGCAGCGCTTCAACGCGATTGCCAAAATGTTCTGCGACTCGGATATCGTATCTATAGATTTCACAAATGGAATAAATAAAAATAACAGTGATGGTACTGTCACCAAATACGATAGTGCTGCCATTATGAATCAGTGTGTCCCCAATGTTACAAGTTACTTTAAAGGCGAATGGAGAAAACAATTTCCTGAGGAGAATACAACGTTGAGAAAATTCTACCTGGATGTCAATAAATAAATTACATAAAAAATTAATTAAATTTTAATATGTATACTAGATAATCCAACAGGCGTTGTCCTGTACTCACGTCTACAATTTTTTACAATCCTCTACTTATATTTACAGTTTACCTAAAAATAATAAATATGTTTTTTAAATTACTCTTCACACCAAAATGCATATACATCAATATAAGTGATGTTAAATGTTCTTAACTGCTTTAAATAAAATGATGAGTCTCAATTTCTACACTAAATTGGAAATTAAAGTCTTTTAAACGGTACAACAAATTCAGAAAAAAATAATATATAGTATCCGCGATAAAAGTACAATACTACCTTGGATTTTTTCTAATTGTTCCAATAATGTTGCCTACAATTTTTAAGGTTTTTAGTAATTATAATATCTTAATTACATTTTTCTTAGTAATAATTTAAAACACATTATTACCAGGGATCCCCAGCGCCCGCTTTGCTAATTCCCTCCTATTATTTTACCTGTTTTAACCGTAGACCTTATATACATGGACTGCTAGTACCCATACATTTCTCATTATTTATTATGTAATGTATATTATGATATTCAATTATTAAGATGCTTATTGTAAGACAATAAGATGAAAAACAAAATGAAGATATATTATTAATAACAATTTTTGATTATTTTCATTCATTACTAGTTTCTAATCAATCAATCAATTGAAGTTTTAAAACTTCTCCTGTGAATAGAATTGTTCCACTTGTCTCGTCTTGAATGAAAAACGTAAAAGGTCTTGTTGCCGAGAAGAATACCTCGCGATCGTTGCCAAATTTATTGGTCAGGACAATTTCTAAAGAATAAAATGTAATATTATACACATATAAAGAAAAGACATATACAGGGTGCCTGTGTATGTATCATTTAATATACATCATTACCTGTAGCAGCATATACTGTACTTCCTTTCTCGTTAACTCGCTAACTTCAATGCCAGCCTTTTGCATTATGCCAGATATTATATTGATAATGTATCTCCTGTGGCGATAGCCCTCTTGCAATACCAGGCAGTGAGGACTGAGGACGTAGTTGGACTCAACTGCAGGCCCATCTAAATAACAAAATTTCAATTTCAAATCGAATAATTCTAAATAATGATGCTCTCGATCAGTAGAGGCCTTACCTCTTTTAAAGTATCAACAAGTTTTGCTTTAAAATCAAACTTGTACTTTAGTAAGGTAACATTGAGTTCAACTTCATCTATTAGCCACAATTGCTGCCTCAGAAGTTGGGCGTTCAAATTCTGTTGTAAATGTTGTAATCCGTTTCTCAGAATGAATATCGCACTGAATTTTCCACCCTTCGAAGAAATACAATGTAAATAAAATATAATATATATATATATATATATATATATATATAAATATTTACCTTAAATGGCATTCTTAAAATTTTCGCATCTAACTCTTTTGAGTCATGATAGAGAAAGACTCCTTGCTGTCTCATAAAAGGTATTGTGATTAGCCTAATAATAAAAATGGTGATAAATTGATTACTCCATTTGTTTATAGAAAACATTTGTTGATTTTTTTATAAATATATACAGATCGAATCAAAAACAGGCAACTCTAAGCTCTGTTCACAAATAATTTTTAAGTGTATAAACTTGGTGTAAGTGGCAAGTTGCGTGAACTCTCCAACATGTGTAAATAATCCACTTAAATATAAAAAATATTTTAATTCAAGAGTACATTGCAATGTGAAAAACTATCGCAGATTATTAAATTTTGTACAAATTTTTTAAAAATGTTAGTTATTTTTTATAAATAGTTTAAAAGTTACATATTATTGAACAAGAAACAAACTGTAGTATATTCATTAAAAGCAGGTTCCAAAATTGCCAAAGAAATTTATTAATCAATAACTGAGAAACGACTCGTCGATCATTGTAAAAATTTAATCAGCACGATTCTCAAATAGAACGTTTGTAATGGTTTTTGAATTTTTGAATTTTCAAAATCGATTCACGAATGTAGGCTATATATAACGTGGACAAAAAAAATTGATTTTTAAAAAGGATTATGCATGTTTAAGGAAACGTCGACTAAAGATGTAATTTTGACTCACGTAAAAACTCACGCTGCTCTTTTTTTCAAACTTTGATAATATTTTAAAAGTTAAAACAACTTACCATAGTGTCGAAATATTTAGTTATTTTTGAGACCGTGATCACTATCGGCAATAAAGTTTTAAAAATATCATCGTAACGAAATATTTAACAATTCAATACGAAGAAACGATCCGACCGATCTCTTAAAACAAATCAGCACGATCCTCAATTGATATCTTTTGAACAGTTTCTGATTTTTTAAAATGCAGGATTTCTGGCTAATACATGTACGAAAAATTTTACATTTTTCTGTTGATTAGAAACAGCTTGGCCGATTGTTGCACAAAACTGAAAGGCGCTTGTCATTATCTAGTAACATCAAATGACTTTTAAAGTTTTGAAATGGATTTAACCGTTTTTGAGAAAACGTTTGCAAAAAGTCAAAAATCGACTCATGCAATGCTGGATTACCCGGCAAATTTTTCAGAATGTTAAAATTTTAAATCCGAAAAATTGTCACGGCAATTTATTTTAAGCATTGATCCTGATCTCGATAATTTTCTGTGAGATAGAATGTTATTCGTTTTCTAATCAAACTTATTCATGGGCGCCTCATTAATATTTTTATTGATGTATCATGTTTAAAATAAAATAAAAAATCAAATTGATAAGCTTTCTTGGGAAAAATAAAATAAAATTTTTGGAAGAAATGAATAATTTTATAATTTTTAAAATAAAAATTATTAAATTGATAAGCTTTTTTGGGAAAAATATTGAAGCTCTGTTCATTTCTTGCAACTTAGTTAAGATGAATCTTACATACAAAACCCTTAATATGGTTTTAAATAGTTTCATATTTTAGTTCGGAAATTAACATACCATATTAATTGTTATTTTATGATAA